GACCCCACCCCCAAACCCCCCGTTCTCGCAGGCGATTGGTGCAGCTGGAGCAGGAGGAGGCGGAGCGACAGCTGGAGGCGGAGCTGGGCCGGCAGGAGCTGAGCCTGCAGCGCCATAACAGGTGTGGGACAGGTGTGGGACAGGTGTGGGACAGGTGTGGGACAGGTGTGGGACAGGTGTGGGACACCTGGGACGGGTGTGTGACCCCCAGGACAGGTGTGTGACAGGTGTGTGACACCTGGGACAGGTGTAGAGGCCACACCCTTTCTCTGGCCCCGCCCCCAGGTTGGCAGAGGAGCTGCAGCAGCTGCAGAGCCCCATGGGGGCAGGGCCGGAGTGACCGGGCTGAGCTGGACACGCCCCACGGGACACCTGGGGCACCTGTGGGACACCTCTGCCTGTTACCTGTGGTACCTGTTACCTGTGGTACCTGTTACCTGTTACCTGTGATACCTGTGTTACCTGTGTCACCTGTTACCTGTGTCACCTGTTACCTGTTACCTGTGTCGCCTGTTACCTGTTACCTGTGTCACCTGTTACCTGTTACCTGTGGTACCTGTTACCTGTGGTACCTGTTACCTGTTACCTGTGATACCTGTGGTACCTGTTACCTGTGGTACCTGTGTTACCTGTGGTACCTGTGTTACCTGTGTTACCTGTTACCTGTGTCACCTGTTACCTGTTACCTGTGGTACCTGTGTTACCTGTGGTACCTGTGTTACCTGTGTTACCTGTTACCTGTGGTACCTGTTACCTGTGTCACCTGTTACCTGTGTCACCTGTTACCTGTTACCTGTGTCACCTGTTACCTGTGTCACCTGTTACCTGTGGTACCTGTTACCTGTGGTACCTGTGTTACCTGTGGTACCTGTGTTACCTGTTACCTGTGTGTTACCTGTTACCTGTGGTACCTGTGGTACCTGTTACCTGTTACCTGTGTTACCTGTTACCTGTGTCACCTGTTACCTGTGTTACCTGTGTTACCTGTGTCACCTGTGGTACCTGTTACCTGTGGTACCTGTTACCTGGGTGTTACCTGTATTATCTGTGTACTATCTGTGTTACCTGGGTGTTACCTGTGTTATTTGTGTGTTACCTGGCTGTTACCTGGCTGTTACCTGGGTGTCACCTGTGTTACCTGGGTGTTACCTGTTTTACCTGTGTTGTTTGTGTGTTACGGGTGTTACCTGGGTATTACCTGTGTTACCTGGTTGTTACCTGTTTTACCTGTGTTGTTTGTGTGTTACCTGTGTTACCTGGGTGTTACCTGTGTGTTACCTGTGTTACCTGGGTGTTACCTGTGTTACCTGGGTGTTACCTGGGTGTTACCTGTGTTACCTGTGTTACCTGGGTGTC